AGATAACATAATGGTGGAATTATTGTATTAAAAGCTATATAGCTTATATCGTTATGCATTCAACCAAACCTTATATGAACCATATCAATGCAAAAATATAGAACCCCATGCATCAAAGTTAATAGTATGTTCAACTTAAATAAAAAAATTAAAGCAAAATTGAAAAATGATTCGTAGAATTGACGAGCATTAACAATTAGAAATCTACCATTCATCAATTAAGCAAAATTGAAACATAAATCAATAGAATTGATAATTTCAATTGGAAATACCAAAAGGACCACACAAAAAACTCTAGATTTTATATGAAAATTTTAATATCATAAATGATAAACCCTAAAACCAATTGATTCTCAATGATTCAACATGATCTGGTAATGATGTCACTTGTTAGAACCAAAACATAATAAATATGAAAAACAATCAGGATCTAATCATGTCAAATCATCAAGAATAAAAAATATCTCAAATATAATCTAATTAGAAAAATATAAAAATTTGGTTAACAAACCAAAATAACTGAATTTTATTTGGTTTGGTTAATATTTTCAAAAAATAAAGTTCGATTCGGTTAACAGTTAAATAAAAAAATCGATTAATTCATTTAATGATAATTGATTAGATCAATGACCGAATTAACCGTTTTAACACCCCTAGTGAAATCCTCACATATTAGGAGTAACTCAACATAGATATTACTGCATCCGCAACAATACTTTCTTTTAATATTAATGATTTATGAACTAAAGTATTATATACATTCACACAGTCCGTTTCAATTTCGACCTGCCAACTGTGTACTTCTACATCTGTAGGAAAAAAGCAAACTTATTTTTTTATACAATTAACTCTAGATATTAAAAATGCTTGAGTTAAGGACATTTTTCTAAGCCTGTAAATGTATTGTCTTTGACTATACTTTTATTTAAACTAATTTTGGTTATCTGAAAGGTAGCCCTGAGACTATATAAAGAGCACATGTTGTGCAGATGAAAATCCAGAACATGGATGTATCCCTGCACAATTACCACTTGGTTGCTTGTTCATCAATGGCCTAATTGTATCCCTGCACAATTAGCCCATTCAGTCATATTCTGTGATTTTCTCTTCTTCATAGCCTGCTCATATTGCAATTAAAATAACATTGACTAAAGCTCACTGAAGAGATTCGAAACAAATTCCGATAACCGACCGAGGTGCAGGGCGGACCTTATAGTTGCCCTGGGTATCCCAGGCAACCCCTCAAAATTGTCTACTTAGTGTTAATTTTTTTTTTAATTTTTAAAATTAATACAAGTGTCACCCCTAATATTGTGTGAACTGTTGCTCTTTATTATAGAAAAAATTAATATCCTATTTAAAATTAAAAAAAGAGATCAAGCCCAAAAACAAACCTTAAGCCCATTAATCAAGCACCTATTTTCAGTTTTGTGGGAATTGGGATACGACATTGGCAACAGATTAGATCGAAGATTCAAAGAGATTTTTGTGCAACCCCTGAAATTTTGTCCTATGTCCGCCTCTGCCGAGGTGGCAAGTGATGTTATGCCAATTCCACTCTAAGGGCAGCAAAATATGAGGTTTCGGAGGCGTTTTGTAGATGGTAATCTTGCAGGTTATAGTTTAACATGAACACCTTGTTTATCAGCTAAACACTGTACCAGTTCCCTGCATTTTAGATGGCTGCCATCATTTGGCTTGCATCAGTGAAAGAGTAATGGTATTTGGCCCATAACCGGCAAGTAAAAATGAAAATTAATTGCAATGAAAATGGATCAAGCACATGTTCTATTTCATGCTCACCCAATTGAGCTATCCTTGAAATTGTTATCCAAATCTAATATATTTTATACTCTTTTCATAAACTTTCATGCCATTGTTTCAGATTACGATCGAGTGATTAATACGATAAAAATTATTAATTAATTGGTCAAATTATATATTATATTTAATAATTTTGTGATTAAAACGTAAACCTACTAACAGTTAAAAGATTGTGAATATAATTAAATCCACATTATTTACTTTTATATATCGACTTCTTCAATTAATTATCAAAATAAGACTCATTCTTGATTATTTATCGGAATAGTATTCATAGCTACCACGGAAGGTAAATATGCGTCTGATAATTTATTTCAATGCACTATTACTAAATATAACTAGAGATGATCATCGGTTAGTGTGTATATATATATATATATATATATATATATATATATGTTATAAGTTATAAGTTAAACTAAATCCCTTCATTCATGTTCGATTCGATTTAAAAATATATATATATATATATTATAAGCTATAATTTATTAGTTAAAATAAAGAATTAATTAAAAAAAATAATATAAAAGATATCATTATAGTTTTTTGCATGGTAATCAAAACCGGACCAGACCGGTCGGTTCAACCGGTTGAACCATAAACCAGTGGTCTGTCCGGTCCGGTTACCTCACAAAATCGGTCTGGCAATGAATCGGCTGAAAACCGACAAAACTTGAACTCGAAATATAATATTAAAACTTGAACTCGAAAAGACTCGAACTCAAAAAAAATTTAGAAGTTCAATTGAAGCTTAAAATTTGAGCTCAATTGAAGCGAAAGAATAGTTCACTCTGTGCTCACCAAAAGGTTCCATGATTTTGAATTATCAAATTACCTCTATATTTATAGAAGTAAGTTGGGATGTTCTTCTATGTTTCTTAGTCATGTAGAATTGTTTTGTTCTCATATTTTTACTCTTTAAACTTTGGGATGCTCTTCTATGTTTTCTTAGTCATGTGAGATTGTTTTTTTAAAAAAATTAAACCAAAAGACATAATTTGTTATGATTTTTTAAGCCCTAATTTTATTTTTTTGATAATAGTTATATAATTATATTTATTATTTAATATGTTTTACCTTAAATATATGTTGTAGTTAATTTGAATCATTTGTTTCACTTGATTGTATGATTTTAATTTATATATGTTATGACTTGTGATATTTTATACCTTTTAATATTGTAAACTTAAAAAAGTGTTACATATATATTAATATACTTGAATATTATGTAATATTAAAAAATATATTATTTTATAAAATCGGTTCAACCGCGGTTGAATTCGGTTAAACTAGTAAATCAGTAAACTAGTACCTTCACCGGTTCAATATCTGATCTAATTTTAAAAACATTAGTTTTTTGAGATGTATAAGAAATAATTATAATAATATAGGAAGATATTTTATTATAAAATAATAAGTTTGATTGTAGCATATTTTCTAGATTAGGTCAGGATGATATAAAGATAAATAATGTTTGTTTAAAAGACTTTGAATGATTTTACAATTAATAGAGACTCGGGGAGTAGGTGAAAAGGGGGAGGGCATTTAGAGGTTCGCAGCTTTCCAAACGCCTCAATCTCTCTTGTAAAATGTTAAGGAAGAATTTTAAGGGTGAGTTATGGAACGTAAGATTATCAGTAGAAATAAAAGATTATCAGAGAATAGGATTAATGAGAATATTGTATTTTGTGTTTGTTTGGTTGGTTTAGTAGGAATGTAATATTACCGTGTTTGGTTAAAGGAATAAAAGATTATTGGAATGTATATTTGACCAAATTGTCCTTATTATATATTTGTATAATATTACAAATTGTAAAATATTTATATATTTTCTTTACAAAAATTAAATTCATAATATTTATATAATATTTTTTACAAAATTAAAAATATAAAAAAATTTAATGAAAAGGTAAAAAAATTTTAATCTATGAACTTTATATAAAATTTTAATTATAGATTTTTTTGTAAATTTAAAATAATTTAAGGATAAATTTGTAATTTAACCTTCGTAGAATTTTTATTATTCAATGACAGAAAAATGATATTTTTGAAAAAAAAAAAATTTAAAGACATTTTAAATCAAAAACACCAGTAATGTTATAATATCTAATGGAAGAGAGTAATGATATTTCTGGTAATATATCTAAAATATTTACTATTGATAATAAAATATTACCAGAAATGAGATTCTCAACAAATTAAATATAAAAATATAGAATTCTCATCTAATAAAAATCTCACAATCCTTAAATTAAACACCCCTAAATATTAATGTTGGTGGGTTAGATTAGACTTTAGAGAAGTGATGAAGGTGTTCATTCACCCATTCATATTCATGTTGAGTTCCCACAGTCTTAATTTCTGATTCCATTAATTCTGCCCTGCCACTCGCAGCTTTTTATCTTGTCTTTAACTCAACCTCATCATCTCCATCACATCTCTCTATCCATAATTTGTTGTTACCGAATGTGTTCATTATAGAGAAAATAACTAAAATTATTTTATAATATATAATATTAATTAATTTTTTTTAATTTGTTAAAAAATCAATTAAATCATAATACGATCGATATATCACAATAAACTTAAAATAAATCATAACGCGATATTTAACTATCGCAACGAACTTAAAATAAATCATAACACGAATTTCAACTATCACAACAAATTTAAAATAAATCGCAACGCGAACTTCGACTATCGCAACGCGAACTTAAACTATCGCAATACGAATATATAAATTACAATACGATATTCGAAGTTCAGGTTACAAATCTGAAAACTGATTTACAATACCAAAAATCACGTTACGAATTATCGATCGCATTACAATTTAATTAATTATTTTAACAAATCAAAAAAAAATAATTAAAATCATATATTATAAAATATTTTTAATCACTAAAATTATTCTCTTTATTATATATCTTCCATTGTTTGGTACAAATAAACAATAATGCTTTCATTAAATATACTGTTTTGTTTCAATGTAGGGAAGAAAATCAAACGGTCAATACACCATGTGAATGCATGTGATGAAGGGAACCCATTTCCAGGTTACAGATGATGAACATTTTACTTATCTTTTTAACACAAACCTTCTTCACATCACAAATCATCAAACATTTCTTCTTCGTCTTGTTTCTTATTAGCAAATACTACCCAGAAAATAACAGTTGAAGATCAAAATTATTTGCACATATATTTGTAAAGCAAGGAACGTGACATCATTACTGAAGTCTCTACCAAGATATACTTGACATGTAAAAACTATTTAACTGGAATGGCCGACAGATTTAGGTTCTAACAGCTAACAATGAAGGAATGGCCGACAGATTTGGTGCTGTGTTTTTCTTGTTCGATTCCCTGATGACGGTGGTGTTACTTTTCTTACCGGAAGACGGCTTGGTGAAAGCTCTTATGGGACTAGCAAAAGCCCATCCCCAGCTCTTGCTACTCCTCCCGTTCACGTTCTGATCCTCCGTTGAAGACGATACCCAGTACGACGACGACGATGAAGTGATGATGAAGCCGCCGAATATGCCGCCGCATTTGACCCTTTCTTTCATTGCTGACGGTGCTCCGACGGAGGCGGTGGAAATATTTGGTTTTCCTTCTCTTTGTGATTCAACACGTCTTAGAGTGCAATCCCCGAACCCCGTCGAGATCCTCTCGAAGAAATCGCCGGAGAAGCTCCGGCTTCCGCAGCCGACGGACCTGGATCTCGAAACCTTCCGCTCGAATGACGAACCAGTTGAGGGAGTGGCTTCGTTACTGGGACTATCGTCGTCTTCTATCACCACAATGCCTGCTTTTCTCGATGAGCCTACGCTTTTATCTTTTGGACCAGAAGACGAAGCTCCTCCAGCTGCAACTATCGCCACCGCTGATGAAGTGGCCAGCGGGGTTCCAACAGAAGAAACTTTATCTAGCTTTTTCGAACCATGGGTCTTGGAAGAAAGGTTGAGAAAAGACCAAAAACCAGATCTTTTTCTAGGGATGAAGTCCCCACCATTGTCACCATCCAAGAACCGACCTCTAATGGGAGCAGCAGTCGACTTGCTTCTCTTAAAAACAATATTAGCATCATGGTGATGGTGATGATGATAAGGATGACCGGAAGATTCATCCATCATCTTCTTATTCTTCTTCTTCGCCAACAGGAAAGGGATCCTAGCTTTCCTCGTATAACACTCTTCATAATGACCAGTAGTATTATCATTCCTCGTGGATATGGGACGAACGACAGACAGTGAAGAAACAGAAGCACCACCACCGCCATTTCCGCCGGAGTCAGATGTAAAAGGAGGAGGTGAAGAAGAAGAAGAAGAAAGGGAGGGACGAATAGGTAAAGGAAAAGAAGAAGAAACCAACTTCCCTAGCTTCTCTTGAAGACAAAAGGCACAGATTGCACGTGGATCATTCCTATAAGGATGATTAATGCATTGCATTCCATCTCCCAAGTCGTCGTCTCCAACACCAACTCTTCCATCTCCTCCTCCTCCTCCTCCTCCTTTGGATCCTTCCATCATGTGTTAAACTTTTTTTTTTTGGACTGCCAAGAAAGAAAGAGAGAGATTACTAGATAGAAACAAACAAAATAAGGGAAAGAGAAGAGTGTAATTGAGAAATAGGGGGCATTGGAAAGGGTGGAGTCCCCAGGAGCACGTGGAAGACTGAGTTTTGTGGCAATCTAACCTAAAAAACACTCTAAAAATCAAATATCTCCTATCAAACACTTTTTTTTAATATTTACCCATTTAACACTCTTTTGAAATAGAGAAAGGAGAGGCGTTTCACCAAAAGCGTCTATGACTCTATGGTGATAAAAAGAAAAATACGTCCCGTACAATACACCTTTTAGAGATTTTACTGACCTGGAGTACGCACTTCTAAAATCGCGTTTCAAGACACATTTTTTATTCTCGAATTTCTGAGTTTTTTTAGTTAGATTTTTAAATTTTTTTAAAAAAATACAATTATTTTAATATAAATCTAATTTAATTTTATCATTTTTTATTAAGTTTGATCAGTTGTGTCTGTACGGTGTGATATGATAAAATCTGATATCAAAATTTCAAACGACTATCATATTTCAGTCATTATATTAATCTCAAACTTAAACGACCGCCAAATTTTTTAATAAAAAATTGATTATTTAAATTTAGTGTAAAATACATAAATGATATCTCGATTATAAGGTATTATTTTTTTAATCGACTATTAAAAGTTATAAAATGATCATTCGGCTATATAATATTACTTTGCTAAGCCCCTTAATTATTAAAAGTTGAAAGTTGGTTAAACTTGAGATTAACATGATGACTAAGATATGACAATATTTTAAAATTTTGAGATTAAATTTCATTATATCACAATTAACAGGTTAACGTTCAACTTAGAATATCGTTCATTTTTCAACGGAAAAATAATAGTTTAGAATATAATAAATAATCATGTGATCATTTTATAATTTTAATAGTCATGGACTCAACAGAATAATATTTTATAATCTAATGATCATTTTATAACTTTTAATAATCGATGAATTTAATAAAATAATATCATGTATATGTATTAAAATAAAGTGATATTATTTTATAACTTTTTTTTTTCTTTTTTGAGAATACTATGCGTGCAAAAATAAATGTTCGAACTCGATAAGAATAAATTAAATTTGTATTAAAATAATTGTTAACTTTTTTTTAATTTAAAAACCCATCAAAAAATCAGAAATCCGGAAATGAAAAGTACGTGTCCCGAAACGCGTCTTCAAAGGCGCGTACACATGGCATCATGTCAGTAAAATCTCTAAAAAAAAGACGAGACATTTTTGGTGAAACGTGCCTTCTTTTCTCTACTCCAAAAATATGTTAGATCCATAAATATTAGGGAAAAAGTGTATAACTAAGAATATTTAATTTTTAGGATGAATTTTGGTTCAAATTGCCGAGTTTTGCCATCACATTAAACAAAGCTAAACCCCCACTAGCCTCTTTTTTTTCTTTGGTTTTTGGGGATATCATCAAAGCACTTGCCAGCTTAGCTAAAGAATCTCTGTAAACAACCTCAGAATTAGCTTTTAGCTCTCCCATAGGGTTTTCATTATTATTATTTTGAAAGTGATAGGTAAGTTTAGGGTAAACTATAGCATTTATCATCAAACTATTTAACTCTTTTATTTTTATTATTAACTTTTTCATCTTAAAATGACGGTTCCTTGTTCCAATATATAATGGGATAAGAGGGAGGTAAGATAGTAGGTTGTCCCCAACACCACGTTGAGAGCAACTTCCGTAGAAGACATTCGAATTATGAAATGCCCTCCGTGGGACTCGATCCCACGACCTCAAAGTTAAGAACCTTGTGCTCTACCAACTGAGCTGGATAATCATCTCAAAAAAGTTAAATAATCTAATTATTAAATATTCAATTAAACCATTACATTTAATATTTAATAAAAATATAATTGTTGACGTGACAGTTAATAAAACTGATATAATTATATATTTTATTCTTAATATTTATATATTTTATCAATTTGATCTTATTTTTAATTTAATTAATAAATTTAATCATCTAACCAAATTTTGACATGTACCACAATATAATTGAAATATATTTTCTTAATTTGAATTATTTTATTTTTCACCTCATGAGATGATGACAATCTAGGTTGTTTAGGGGATATATCAATGTCTAAACCATTGAGCAAAATTTAGAAATTTGAGTTTATGAGGTCAAGCTTGTATCTTACTATCGTCACTCTTAATAAATACTTTATAAATTTCTATGTAAATCCTAATTAAGTCTTAGATATACATTGATCATGGACTATGAAAGTCACTCATAATCTGAACTTTTGTTTTAAAAAAAAAGTCTAAACCACTTATCAAGACCCATTACTTGATTTTAAAATACATTATATATATATATATATATAATGGCAGAAAAGTAAACAACAAACGTGGAAAATTAATAGAAGCAAGTAATGGCTAAGAAGGAAGGGACTCGAACCTAGGTCATTTGGAGAGATAATTCAGCAACTAAAGCACTAAGACAAACACCTTAATTGGTTCTAAATTTCATCATATACAAAGCTGAAAATTCCGAGCTGGATTATTGATTACTAGAGTTACAATTTAGGTGCTGATATATCCCCTAAACAACCTAGGTTCAAGTTCCACCCCTCTCACCTTTATATTCCTTCTTCTTCTATTAACAATTAAAATTCAGAAAATACCTTTTAATTATAGTGTGACATGTCAACTTCTAATTAGAAAATTACATTTATTAATTAAATTAAAATTAGGATCAAATTGATAAAATGTATAAGTATTGAAGATAAAATGTATTATTTTAACTGTCATATCAATATTTTTTTAAATATTAACGACAAGTGATTTGATTAAATATATAATTAAATAATTAGATAATATGATTGATAAAATTAAAAGAATTATAATAAAAATATAAAGACTAAATAATTAAGTGATCAATATATAGTTTATGCTTTGAGATTTGTGAGTATATCTTTTATGTTATAATTAGAAGATGAAAATATGTTAATGCTTTGTAAGCCAAGATTCGTGTAGATTCCTTCTTTTTTTCTGCCATTACATTATTAAAACCGTTCTATTTTTGTATCCATAATATGAGTTATGGACTCATTAAAAGATAAGGTAAAATATGTAAATAGTCGTAAAAACCAAAGGAAAAATTAAACAAATCCTAAATTCATTATTTAATCTATTTTTTTTCTCTCAATAATATTCTTATGATGACTTTTTTTTCTTTTATTTTTTGTTTATCCGGCGACGACACTAATTTTAATATTAATTGTCGACCGTCGATGATGATTATTTTTCTTGTTTTTTATATTATGTCTTTATTTTTTTCTTGAATTATCTCACTTATAAATAAGAATTCATGTCCTCTATGTTATTGTGGCACGTTCCTTACGGGTTTTGGTAAGTTTTTCGCAGGCATATGCGATTGTGTTGGTGTTTTCACAAAGATCATCACTGCATTTATTTTCTGATTTGTTTGTTGGTGGTCAAATATTGTCATATCCCCTCTTTTGTAAATGGTCGTTTGTCGATATAATCAGAATTGTGTAGCAAAACGTTCTACCAAATTGTTTGGTTCGCTCACTACTCCTTTATCACATCGTAAATCGTCTCGTTAGCCAAAAACAAGTAGTTTTATGAAGGTTATTGGATTTTTTTGATATTTATAAGATTTCAGCCTCTTCGTATCTTTGGATTTAATATTTTTATTTTATTTATAAATCTTTTGTGACTATAAACTTCAATTTTTTTTTAGATGTGTTATAATTTTAATTCTTTAATTTTTATTAATGAAATTTAATTGTCATTGTTAAAAATAAATAAATAAATAGTCCCTTGAAAGGTGTCCAACTCAAATAATGAATAGTCTTAATCTCTGGATTTTACTTCATCGTCTATTTATGATGAATAGACCATCTTGGGTTTTTGTCGTTCTCTTACGGAATTCCAGACTCACATTAAGGATGATAAAAGGGCAACACAACAAGGGGGAGACGATACTGGGCTAGATGAGACACAATTAGTATGTAGCCCATCCATATTTTCAAATCTTTTAATTTAGTGCCTCAATTTTGTTTTAGAATTTTTCATTAAGTTTTAAATGTTTTACTATAATAATTGCAATTAAGTTTTCTTCCAAACTTTTTGAAAGTTATCGGGTTCCCTTTTTTGAAATTTTTAGTTAAACTCCCATTTTTTGGAAAAATTTAAATTGAACCCTTCAAATTGTTTGAAAATTTCAGTTTAGGCTTCTAAATTTTGTAAACATTTAAATAAAAACTCATTTTTCCAAGATATGATTGAACAAAAAAATAGCTTAGCTTTTTTCTCTATAATTGATTTCAATCTGTCCATAAAAAGGAATAATATGCATAATTAAGATATAAAATTGTTAAAAACACTACCAGATTCAACACTTGATCATGGCCATAAAGATGAAGCATGAAATTGAGACATTAAATCATCACTTAAAATAATGCAAAAATTAAACAAAATAGGAAGAAAAAAAAAGCTATAAAAAGAAGATGGAGTAGTGAGAAATGAAAAGAGTGTTGAATCACAGATTGTCAAACAATTTCATAGATCTGCTTGATTTAGAATATTAGATTTGTGCTTTTGTGCCAGGTTAGCTTAGGGTTTAAGACATGTGTCCTACAAATTAATATTATCATACCATCTCATGTTCATATAAGGTCAATAATTCAATTAGAGTTTTTCTATTTATATAAGAAGTGAAAACAGGGGGGGACCACTCATGCATTTAGGGCACAAATCTAATGCACGTCCTTGTTATTAAATGCAAACTCCATTTTTGCGTGGACAGGCGAACGACGACTGTAAAGCACTGTAAATTTGTCCATTCTCAATACAATATTTTGAGTTAATTGAACTACATGTTCTTAAATTATGTTTCTCATTCTAAATTGATCTCTAAACTTTTGAATATTTAAATTTCATCCCTAAACTATGACTCT